ACATACATACATACATACATACATACACACATACATACATACATACACACATACATACACGAGTAGTCATCATCGTCCTATTTTTCAATAATCAATATCATGTATTATTATATTGCCCATGAAAAAAATATAACATAAATTTTCAACTATTTTAATATACTTGATAACAAAAATATTACATGATTATTCAATTTCATAAGCTTCAACTACAAACTATATAAGTCATTTAGCTACTAGTTCATGTGATCCCGAAAGTACCAACAAAGATTAGGTGCTTGATCCACCAAAAAAATGTTGCAAGATTCTTCCTCAACATTGCTAACTAAATATGGATCTGATTGTTGTTGATATGCCCTTGGATCTACAAGCTCTGTGTGATTCGAAGTCGTAGCTGATGACGAACATAAAGAAGCTGAGAGCCCGAAGTTTTTCATATTTAGGAACGGGCTCCCACGAGGGTTGTTGACATTCATGTTTTCATCGTTCAAAACCCCACTGGAATCACTATCCGAAAACCCATCTTTTAAATCTAGTAATTTTCGAGTTTTTTCATAATTTAAGCTTGTGTAAACTTCATGATTTGTATTCGTTGGATCAGATCCCAAGAACAGAGCATTCTCTCTATCCTCAAATTCATCATTTCGTTCTGTTGTTCCCTCATGAAGCTTTGCTTTTAGCTCTACCAACTGCAAAAACATGATAAGTATCAATAAACATAATATTTTTGTACTTTTCGATTTAATCATATGATCATGTACTATAGTCGTCTTGACTACTAATGACGTAATAATTTTTTTTATCACAATCCTAACAAATTGGCTTTTACTTGAAATTAACTGGAGCCATTACTCAAATATGTTGATGATTACTCCTACTATGTCTTTTGGTTTTCAAGTGTCGTAAACATATACATACACACATACATACATACACACATACATACACACACACGACATCTTTAAACCCGGTGTGAGATAAATATGTTATGACACAAGTGTATTCGTCTAATGTTGTTCACTAGTTCAAATACAGTCGGAGTTTGCCGAACTGTTAAATTTAGAAGTTCATAAGATTGGTCTAGGTGCGAGCAAGCCAACCAAAGCATCCACAATTATTTAAAAAGGAACCAAACTAAATGGTTCTAACTTTCTTTGACCGACCAAACCTAAAAAAAATGGACGATCCGAACAAAATGAAAATGGTTGAATCAAAAACTAGTCCATGTTGTCATGGTTTAATTCATTTCTAGATCATAAATAAAACTACATAATTCTAATACAAAACAAAATCAATCCCTATAAAAGTAAAAAAAAAAAAAACATACACTGTAAAAATAGTTTTCCTTTATTATAAATAAACTTTATTGTAAGTATAAAAAAATCTTATGTTTATTAATTGATAATGATTATAATTAAAACTTCATAAAAGTAAATAAATAATATGAGTAAGTAATTAAATTTACCTCTTTGATTATAGTTTCTTTCTCTTGCTCAAGCTTATGGTAATTTTGCTTAAGAGTGTCATAACTGGACTTAAGAAGAGTGTAGTCTCTCTCCAACTGTTTGGTCTTCCACCGTGCACGGCGGTTCTGGAACCAAATCGCCACCTGCCGTGGCTGCAATCCCAAATCTTGGGCCACCTTCACTTTCCTATCTGGATCAAGTTTGTTATCAACTTCAAAGATTTTCTCCAATGATTTCACTTGATGATTGCTTAATCTTCTCTTCTTGTCACCAAATTGACCTGTTTCTTCTCCACCGTAGTCTTCTCCATCTCCACCACCACCACCACCACCACCACCGTCCACCATTGACTGAAATTCTCCGTTATAAATGCACTCCTCTTCTGCTTTCATCTCCGCTGGAAACAAAAGAAGTCTAGTTTAATTTGAGTATTTTAATGTCTGATTAGTAGCTAAAAATCCATGATTATATATATACATATATATATGTGTGTGTGTGTGTGTGTATATCAACTCAAAATCCACCCTTTATGTGTATGGTTTCTTTAAATTCAACTTCAGAAAAAAAAAACTGTAAAATTCAAGATTTGTTTAAAAAAATACTAGTAAAATAGTTAAGAAGGTCGGAAACACCATTTTGGCAAAGAGCCTTTTCCAAATCTGAAGAACTTGAGATTTTCAAAGAAAGGGTACGACTTTTACTGCACTAAGTACAAGTAAGGTATGCACAAACGGTTGTTCTTGGTTTGATTTGCCATGATTGAGAGTACCTTCAAGTGGGTGTGAGAGAAAATGAGTCAAAGAATCAGAGCAATTGAAGTTCCTCTTCATGACTTTGAATTTGGACAGCAAAATCTTCGATAAAAACACACCAATCAAGAGTGTATTTATTTTTCCTTTGAAAGAAAAGATTCAAAATCTTGGATAAGAACACACCAATCAAGAATTTGTTTTGTGGGTTTTTTAAAAAAAAAAGGAAAAAGAAAATGGAAATCTTGAGAAATTGAGGAGAGAAGAGAAAATGAATTTTGTTGCTGTGTCTTTCTCAAAATCTGAGTGTCTTTTATACAACCAAGAGAGACTCCAGCAGAAGAAGCAGTGTATGAACAAGTTGTGGGGTGTCTTTCGTTGGCTTTTTCTTAAATCAATAATAATAATAATAATAATAATAATAATAATAATAATAATAATAATATTTTAAAAATTACTGTTATATTCCATGGAAATATTTTTTTAAAAACTATATGATTTTTAAATATCTATATTTGATTTTTATTTTGAAAAATTAATTTTCAGAACTTGTTATTTTTGAAAAATCAAAATATAACAAGTTTTGAAATTTGTTTTTTTTTTCTAAATAAAAATCAAAGTAAAATTAATTTTATTTTGGTACAAATCTTTATATTTATGTCAAAAGTCCATATATACTAGTAGTTTACCAAAATAATATAGTATAATAAATTTTTATTTCAACTTTTTTGATTTTATTTCATGTATTGTATGGTTTTGAGGAGACGTGAGAATTTTTTGTTAATTTTCGGACCCAATAATAAAAACACTAAAATCACGAAAACAAAGGTGTTTTTCTATCTTCTACTTACCATTAAGGGTGTGTTTGGTTTGCATAAATGAAATGGAATTAGAGGGATTTGGATTTGAAATTCATTTTAATCTTGTGTTTGGTTTGTAGAATTATTAGGATTCGAAATCCAAGGATTCAATTAAAATCCTGTCACTAAGGGTGCGTTTGGTTTGTAGGAATGTTTCTGAGGGATTTGGATTTGCAGGAGGGATTTGAATTGGATTGGATTTAAAATCCATTCTTGGATTGGATTTAAAATCCATTCCTGTGTTTGGTTTGCAGGATTTGGATTTGATTTGAAATCAATTCCTTTATAAATCATGTTTGGTTTGTAGGATTTGGATTGTGATTTTTTTTTCTTTTGTAATTATTTTAGTCATCAAATCTCTTTCATTTCTCAAAACTACCTATTTAACCATCAAACCTATTAATCCAAAATACATATTTAACAATCAAACTTTTTCATCCAAAATGCATATTTAATCAACAAACATGTTAATCGAAAACACATATTTAACCATCAAACTTGTTAATCCAAAATACATATCTAACTACCAAATTGTTATTCCAAAACCACACATTGATCCACTGAAAGATGAAACAATATCCACTCCATTGAACAATTGAAGGGACAATAATGAATAAATGACGATTTGAATGACTGTGATTCATGAGGGAAAGTCTCCTCTCATCCCACAGTGTCAAACAAACATCATCTTTTCATCCAAATGGAATCACCATTTTCATTCCCTACCTTATTCCACCGTGCCAAACTTGTTCTAACTCGTTTAAAGAAAATCTAGAAAGCAATGATCCAAAACAGCATTTGAATTCCAAACAATGGAAAACCTCTTTATAGGTTCTAAACATTCCAAATTTCAAATTCAAATACTAGTATAAAAATGTTTTCATGAGTTCAGTAAAAGGAAGCAGTACAATTCAATTTTGAGACTACAAAAATACTTCAACTCCAGCAACAATCTCGAGTATTTCACCAGTAATCTTAGACTGTCGTTGGCGATTATAAGCATTCGAAAGAGTCTTCTCCAAATCAATTGCGTTATCAGTAGCGTTGCTCATTGCATTCATCCTAGCAGCAAGCTCACTTGCTAATGACTCCTGTAATACCCTCAAGAATCATTCAAATACAGAGGCATCAATGCATCAAGAATCTGAACAGGGTCTTGTTCAAACTCCATATTTGGCAAAAACCCCTCCTTTTTGCTCATCAATTTATCCCTCTGCACATCCAATTTCCCCTCAATAGACAACAAAACCGACTGAAAGTTATTAACAACAAATTCATCAAGAATAATTCCAATGAATTGGCCATTTACAAAGCTTAAAATCAAGTCGAGCAAGCAAATGAGTTATTATAAAGGCTGTCTTTTGTTGGCTATTTCTCTAGGTAATTCCAATGAACTAGTTATATACGGTTATACATGAATTAATTGATGCTAAAAAAGTGCTGCTTTCATAAGTTGATTACCACATTTCCAACAACAATTCAAATATAGAGGTAAAAATGCAAAAAAAGAGACATCAATACATAAGAACCAGAACCCTACAGAGAAAAATAATAACATCCCACCTCATGTGAATTGATATGATGTGCTCACATTATTACGAAGAAAAAAGTATGTTGATACTGGGACACACGACTGTTAGCAGTTCTATGAATTTTAGGTAGCGTAGCCTATGAAATCCCCATATCATTACTGGTGCAAGTTGGGCATAACAGATATATTTGCTTCATACATCAGCATCAAGAATGATCTACAATCAAGCACCAGAAGCACAAACAATATGAACTTTTCAGAAACTAAAAGGGTACTGTCAATTGCTTATGTATGAAAACCATGTCTGAAATTAACCAAAAAGGGTACATGTCTGACTCCATTAAAACCATGTCTGAAATTAACCTAAAAGGGTACTGTCAATTGCCTTTTGGAGAAAAGGAGAGCATATAAATATGAAAAAAGGCAACGGATGCAAAGAGAAATTAAAAGCAAAATAAGCAGACATCTGAATTGAAAGTTGAAAACCATCCAATGAAGAAGAAGATGCCAAGATGGTTAGGTTGGTGAGGGGTTAGGTAAGGAAAATAGTAGGTGAAGCTGTAAATACTGTGTTGATGTTGGTATACATCACAAAATTCTTTTGGTGGGAGGCTGGGTACTAGAACACAATGGATATTGCACATGATCGAGGTATGTATATTACTGCCATCTTTTTTGTATTACTGTCATCTTTTGGTGGGAGGCTGGGTACAGCTTGCTATTTCCATTTTAATAGCAGGCATTCTGTGCATATACATCAATCATTCATCTTCGGATACACCTATTATTAGATGAGACTTGTACAAAGAGGATTTTTAAGAAAGGTAGAGATAGACATAGATTGTATTATACCAAAGGATTTAACCTAATTCATATATTCCTATGTAGGATAATCTGTCAAAATAGTTGCTGTTACAACAGGGTATTCAAACACAAATCCACATGTTTATCGGCGAAGAGGGATTTACCTACTGAATGATGGGAGAAGGCGGCTAAGATGAAGGGTTTATCGGCGGGTTAGGGCGGCAGCTTCACGAGGGGACGGGAAGGGAGCCCCGTGGTGAGGACGACCGATTAGGGCGCAACGATGGGAGGGAAGTGATAGGAGGGAAGCTGGGTGAAGGAAGCGTGAGGAAGTAATGGGAGGAAAAGATAGGATTTGGATTTCAAATCCCGCCCCTTTGCAAAGGATTCCCAAATCCCGCGTGTAATAGATTTTAATGAAATCCCAGGATTTTAAATCCTGACAATTTGGCAAAGCAAACATAGGATTGGAATGGATTTTAAATCCAAATCCCCCAATTCCATTCCATTCCTGCAAACCAAACGCACCCCTAATGGATTTGAGAATCCTTTGAAAAGACTTGGTATTTTAAATCCAATCCTGTCAGATTCTCCTGCCCTAATTTGAAATCCATCGCAACATCCATCTTGCCCTCTCTCTTTGACCAAAGACGATGCTCTTTTGCCGCTGCTCTCTCGATGCTCTCCTGCCTTCGCTTTGAACAAAGACGATGCTCTCTCCCCCAATATTTATCTCTATAAATCCACCCAATTTCTCCTCATATGGGTCTTTTAAATCCTTGGAGAATTTGGTGTTGGGTAGAAGATTCAAGGTGGTTCTAATAGCAACTCGATCGATATCCACCGGATCATTGGACTGGCTGGCTCTCCTACACCTTTTGGCTCCGTAAATGCTAGTTGGCATAAAGGGTGTGTTTGGTACGTTGGATAGGGTGAGACAAGACAGGACAGAACACAATTGTCCTATGTTTGGTGTGGCCTTATGTGGGACTCACTAGAACTAGCTAGAACACGGGTGGGACACGCCTGTCCACCTTTACCCCCTGGAACTAAATAGAACAAGAAATATTTTACCTATCTACCCTCTCAAAACCCTTCTTCGCTTCCACCGTATACTTCAATCGGTGGTATCGATTTCAAGCGTCACCCTTCTTCCCCTTCAATCGGCAGTATCGATTGCTGGACATAATCATTCCCCTTCACAAAGGCGTCGCCTCTCCTTCATAGTTCGCTCGTCTAGGTTTGCTGTTTTGTATCGATTTTGCTACTGATTTATGTTTGCTGTTTGGAAAATATTTTATAGCAGAAGAAGTGGTGTGATACAATCAGGATGCAATCACATCGGCAACTTCTGCTTAATCATTCCTTCACTTCTCTTCTCTGTGGCCAACAGAGACGACAGAAGCAACTGTGACGATTGCATTTACAAGCCCAGAAGACGAGCTCATTTTGGTAATCTGCAGCATTAGGAACTACTTTTGTAAGATTGTTCATCAGATCTCCTTCGATTTCAATATTTTTCTTGTATTTTCTCATCTCCAAATCTCTGATCTTGGAGTATAGGGAGCAAAATTTTGTAGCATAGTTTGAAATACTGCTAGGATTGATTGGAAAACAACTTTCATTTTAGGGTTTTAATCGAAATTTTCAGTGACTGTAAAATTGATTGAAGTTAAAGCTTTTAGGGTTTAGAATCCGATGTCGTCTTCTCAAGTGGGTTTAGGAGTATGGTAGATTAATTTGATCATGGTGGTTAGAATTATGTGATTGACTCACTGGGGGTAAATTGGTCATTTTAACCAGTTCTGTCCAGTCTTTTCATGTCTTATCAAACGCTGAACAACTGTCCTGTCCTGTCTTGTTTTGTCCTGTTCTGTCCTGTCCTGTTCTGTCCCGTCCTGTCATGTCTGCGTACCAAACGCACCCAAGGGAATTAGTGGAGAAGATGTTGGAGTTGAAGATCATGCGGAGGGTCCGCCAATGGATGCCGACAGGAGCTAGATGACTGAGTAGTGGGAGTGATTATGGGCGTTCAGAGCGTCGAGGATGTGACGGTTGGATAAAGCAAGGTATTGTTTTTGAAGGACCTGTTTGGCGGCAGCGGCGAAGGAGCTGACTAGTGTGGTGATGCGACCAAGTCTCAGAAACATGATTGGACCATGGATTTTTGCTAGGTTGGCTAGGGACTGATGTGGTTGGTCACCGAGCAAGTGGAGGTTCTGATGATCGGTAGTGGAGTTAGACTCGGAGGTAGGTTCTTGGATTTTCCGACTCCAAAAACTAAAGTTGTTCTTTCTGTTTTTAGTTGCTGATTGGATTTGAAAGTTAGATGACCCCTGTTGTTTGATTTCTTACTTTTGTGGTCAAACTCATAATTTGAAAGTGATGATTGTGAATCAATGCATACAGTTATCACTTTTGATCATGATCTAGGAATTGATCACTTCTATCATATGATCGTCTTGCTATTTGATGTTCATCCATAAAGGAATGGATTTGGAATCCAAATCCTCCAAACCAAACATGATTTATAAAGGAATGGATTTCAAATCCATTCCAAATCCTACAAACCAAACAAAATAAAGGATTCCAAATCCAAATCCATCCATAAAATCCAAATCCATCCATAAAATCCAAATCCCTTAAAAATAATCCTGCAATCAAATGTACCCTAAAACATTAAAATATAGAGGTCTTTAGATTTGGCCTCTATATTTGGAGATAAAAAGAGATCTTTATGAATGAAATATTAATATAATTTTTTTTTTTATAATTATAGATATAATATTGATTAATAGTTTAATATTTTAAGTAATATTCAGTTGTTATTATTATTATTACTAGAAGCGTACTCGCGCAATGCAGTGAGATACATATCGATTTTAATGTTTTGTTTTATAATACGGTTTAGTATGGTTTTGAGAAGACGATAATGTTTTTATATTTGAACGAAATATAAATTTGAAGACCCATAACAATTTATCCCGATATTAGTGTCAAATTAACAATTTAAAAAATCATGTTTTTTGTATAATTTTTTAGTTCAAATTGTTAGTATAATTTAATTTAGCTTTAATAACGAAGTAATTTATTTTAGGTATAATACTATAATATTTTTATAAAGATAATTTTTAGTTCAATTTCTATGATAATTTAATTCAAGTTTAATAACGAATTAATTTTATTTTAGGTTTAATAATATAATTTTTTTATAAAGATAATAAATATGTAAAATGTTAGAATGTAATGATTATTTTAATTATATCTTAGACCTTTATATTTATAAAGAGATTTTATCATATATTTGGTTATTTTTATCAGTTAGTTATACGAATTCAAGACATATAACTTTAAAAAATTGCACTAATGCATTATTTATTTGTAATGTTGAATTTTAAGTAATATGCATCATCAAACAGTATTTGATCCATCATCAAACTATACTTGATGCATTAAAAATAGTTTTAAAGAGTTTTACCCAAAAACTTTATAATATAATATATGTTTTCGTTTCTTCCTTTTTCAAATATAAAAATAATTATTCTATCTCGTTTTTTCTTATTTTTTTGAAATAATTATGTTGGAGGAAAAAAACCCATTAAAACTTTATTTTTTTTCATTATAAAACTTCTGTTGGATATGTTCCAAGGAATCTGAAGGATTATCGTGATACTTTGCATTGACCCAATTATCATTCAGATATGTTGAATTTGTTGTTACATATAATGTAATGCATATCAATTGCAATAACACTTATTCATTATGTTATATATATTATATATCATGTTTGATTGAATATATATTTTTTAGACCGTAACGTATATCAATTAATTATCAATTTAATTATAATGTTGCTATTATATGAATACATATTTTTGTAATGGATACATATGTATATATGAATGTTATGTATAAGAAGTACAAATATAATATTTATTGTGTGTGTATATATATATATATATGTTATAAAAACATATTAGGTAATATAAATAGATGTTATGTATAATACCAATATAATATTAATTTTTGTAATAAATATATATGTTATTTTATATATTCATTCGTTCAATGTATCAAGACACATCTCGATTTTAATTTTTAATTTTATTTTTTATCTATATCAATATAATACAGTTTTATGTGGTTTTGAAAAAGTGATAATGTTTTTATTTTTAAATAAAATATATATTTGAAGCATCATAATTAAAAATTTTAAAAAATATATCGATATTAGTAAAAGTTTTCGTTTTTTTGTGTAATTTCTCTAATCCAATTTTTTACTATTTTAATTTAAGTTTAAGAACGAAACAATTTTTTATAAAGATAGTAATTGAGTATTATATTAGAACTCAATGATTATACAAATTATATTTTAGATTTTTTATATTCAAAATAATATGTTTATCTTGTATATGATTACTTTTATCTACAGTTAGTTACACAAATTTAAAAATGGATTTTTAATAAATTGTACTTATGTACAGTTTTTTGCAATATTAAATTTCAAGTAATTTGAATCAATAAATAGTATTTCATATATAAAATATAGTTTTATAATATATTATAAATAAGAGTAAATTACGTATTTAGTCCCTGCTGTTTGTTAAAAATTGCACTTTTCGTCCCCATGATTTAGAAATTACAATTTTCGTTCCTATAATTTATAATTCATTGTTATTTTCGTCCACTAACTAATTCCTACCTATTCCTACCTTTAAAGTACAACAAATCAAAATAGTAAAAGAATTATAAATCACAGGGACCAAAACAACAATAAATTGTAAATCATAAGGACAAAAATAGCAATAAATTGTGAACCATAGGAACGAAAATCGCAATTTCTAACCATAGCGACAAAAATAGAAACTATTAACAAACCCCAAGGATTAAAATCATAATTTACTCTTATTATAATATTAAAGATGTTTTTATTGTGTTTTAAGTGTGTGGTTGGAGTTGATTTTTTTAGTGTATAATGAACCCATCATTTTTAGTGTATTTGGTGTTTTATTTTTAATGGTTGGGTTGAAGATGGTCTAATGCTCAACATTTATTTTGTAATTGAACATATTAACGGTTTTTTGAGTTATTTTATAATTTTTTTAATAAGTTGTAAATGTTATAATATATAATAAAACTATTGTATGAATATACTTGAATGTATGAATATATACTTGGGATTGAAATTTTGAAAACCATGTTAAATTTTCTGAAAACAAATATATCAGTATGTGAATCAAATTAAAAATACTCGTGTTTATATGCTTATTTTTTTAATTATAAATGTTAATTATATTTAGAATTAGATTTTCTTTTAAATTGAGATAAATCTACAGGCTTCCAAAACTTGATCTGCTTATATAGAAAAGATAATATGAGTTTTCAAAAATCCTTCATGAAGAGACAATGGCTAGGGGACGAGCCTTTCAGATGACGAGAGGCAATGACTATGGGATGAGCCTTTAAGATGATGAGAGGCAAGGCTGAAGAGCACCTTAAAGCGGTGACCAATACATTCTTCGTTAATTCAGTATGTGCCAAAGTTTTATTTGATTCTGGGGCAAATTGTTCTTTTGTGTCACCCTCATTTATTGGTTGCGCTTGTTTAAAACCTAAAGTGTTAGATGGGGTTTTGATAGTAGAAACGACAAATGATAGTGAAGTGTCGATTAAAGAAGTTTTGATGATTGTTCCATAACGTAGAGAGGTGTGAGGTACTCATCTAGTTATTTCTAAGAGAGTTTGATATAATTGTGGGTATGGATTGGTTGGCTGAAACCAAGCCAATATAATCTGCTGTAAAATGATGATTCGTATATATTTACTGGGGAATGGACCGATAATCTATGGTGACAGACAGGATCGTTATTCCAGCTTATTTATGTTTTAAAGGCTCAGAAGTAT